TGTGCAGACAAGAGCTAGAATCCACTCCAGAATAGTCCAGGGCTAAAGAAAAGCAAGCCATGAAACAGCTTGGCGGGCAGAGGGGAGGGGGGGGAGGGGAAAACACACAAGAAGCAGAAGTGTACAACCTCATACCAAAATGAAGAGCTGCTTCTTGATTCAGTCCAAATGTTGCGGTTTCAAATGAAAGGGAGAACTAAACCTGAGCCAGCAGCAGGCAAAGAGAAACTGAACCTCTGTGAACCAACTCCAGAGGTTCCTTCCTGCTATTCTGGATCCACATTTTAAAAGGGAACTTGGTAAAGTTATTAGACAGGGTTTAATGATGTCAGTAGAAAATATTTTCAAGGCTGTCCTCCTTACAAAACTAAGGGTATTTTCTTTCCTTCCTTTTTTTTTTTTTGGTAGGATTATACAAATGATCTGGACCAAAGCCCAACCTGAATTAACTCCTCTCAGTTTAGTATAGATGCTGCTCATCATGCAAAAAGCAAGCAGACTACCCTGATTTTCTTAGGGCATTATGTTAATTATAATTGACATTTATAAGGCATCTGTATCTCTCACACCCTGCTTTTAACAGCGATGTAGTGTCTGTATGCTAAAGTGGCTTAGGCTGCTGGTCTCATGCAAATACAGAAGCGTAACAGCCACGTAGCATGAGAGCAAAGCCATCTATGATGGAGCACTGAAAACTTTCAGATACACTAACCTTCATTAAACTTTCCAATCTGTTCTCAGCCATCCCCTCTCCAGCCCCTCCACACACTTGCCATTCCACCAGCTGCCCGTTTTTCCTTCCCTTTGGTCAATAAAGCTAGTTGAAGAGCTGCCTGTAAGTTATATTCAACTGAAGGGCTTGATGCAAAGGCCACAAAAGTAAAGCAATGTTAAGGCAGGTTAAGCCACTGTGGTACATGTGTTTTACAGGCCACAGAGGTTAACTCTATGCCCACGACTACGGAGTAGGCCAGAGCTGAAACCTTACCACTTGTTTGCATTAGAATCGCAGCCCTATACCTTGTAACTGGACAACAGCTTCACTCCCTGTGTAAAGGATTGGACGATGTAATTTTTGAGGTCCCTCCCAACCCTGCAATTCTGTGTGTTTGGGTCACTCGTAGAGTACCTAAAAACTCTGCATCTATCTCTTGCATGATCTTATTAAATACACTGCAAAAAGAACTAGTCTTTTTACAAGATATTGTGCGCTGCATTTCCAATTCTGGTGAGAGGACATGGTTCAAGGATCCCCTCCAACAGCTGCCCCATGCTTTGCATTCGGATGAAAATTAAAAGTTAACTTGATTAGTAAGAGTATCTTATTTGGCAAGCGCAGCACTTGCAGAAGAAAATAGAGTTGAGGAAAAAAGACTAGCTGATAATAAGGTAGATAAACTTTGGTAGGAACCCAGTGCCCTTAAAAAAATTGAAAGTGTGCAACTTTATTATACAATTAAAAACAAAACGGAGAAAGTACAAAGCAGCATGGCCCTCCCAGGGGCTGACCATGAAATAAGTTAGCAACAAAAAGCACTGTCAACAGAGACTGAAACATCCCCTTCATAGGATTACACATGTAGGACCAGCTATCCATCCTCCACCTTGCAGATCGTCCCCCTCGATAATCCAGTACGGCACAAACTGGCTCATGTTTTATTACATGGTGAAGTGTCCAAATTCAAGTGTGAGATACACTTGGACCAGGAACTGGAAGAGTTGGAGAGTATCATTGGAACCCCTTCCCTCCTGCCCCCAAACGATGGCCCCCACACATCATATAATTGAAGTGTAGAACTCATTGCCACAAGATGTTGTGGAAGCTGATGGTTTAGCCCAGGGGATGGCAATTATTCTAGGCGGAGGGCCACTTACCGAGTTTTGGCAAGCCATTGAGAGCTGCATGACAGGCAGCCCAGGGCAGATTAATATTAATTTTCTAAATTTTTTAGGGGCCCCGCTGGCTGGATAGAATGGTTTGGTGGGCCACATCTTGCCCATCCCTGGTTTAGCCAGATTCGAGGCAGAATTGGACAGATCCTTGGAGGAAAAGGTACCTCAGTAGTTATTTAGAATGGGAGTTTCAGGTACAGTCTCTGAATCAGAACTTCCTAGACCTTAAATGGTGGGGGCTACAACTGGGAGAAGTACAGTTTTTTGTTTTTTTTAAGGCCAACAACCATGTTCACTCTTCCTTTTAGTATCTACTCCATCTCTGTAGGCTTGTATAGATGTTCCCAGGACCCAATCTATAGTCACGCAGCTTACCTTAAGTATGATCAGATAGGGTCCCTGCACCCATTTGCTAGTTAAACTGTGTTCCCAATGCAACTCTTTTAAGTAAGTTAGGGTTGCAGGGGGAGGGGGGCAGAAATGGTGCTACTGTGTCCACAGGGGAGATTTGGCAGGACTGGGGGGGGGAGGAGCTGTCAGAGGGCTAAAAACAGCCCCAGAGTGGGAAGAGGGGCAGCTTTTGGGATGGGGTGAACAGCTGGGCTTTTCCAGCCCTGGGGTGTACACATTTGGTAGACTGGGCTAACTCATGAGCAATCTTAGTTCACCTGAGGAGGTGCACTAAGCAAATGCATCTGGCCACTTTTTGCCTGATCTAGCCTCCTTGAACATATATAGTTTGGCACTTAGACCAACCTAACTCAAGTCAGGGCAACTGAAGTGTAACATATCCTATGCTTCACAGGGTATCAGGCAAGATGGACCTACAATGTGACCCAGTAAATGGCAGTTCTTATGAGCAGGGATTCTGGTTTTCTCCAACTAAAAAAATAAAATAAATAAAAATCACAAATTTTTGGATATACATTTGGGATTTTTTTCTTAAATCCTTACACCAGGATCCCTGCTTATGGAGGTGAGGTGGGAATAAAGAGGTATGAAAAGGAACATCAACCTAAACTCTATTTCTAGGTCCCTACCGAATTGATGGCCAAAGTGGAGTGTGCTATGGCTCCTTTAACCTTGCAGGTTACCCTGCATGCTCCGCCCCATCATCAGATATGCCAATTCTGTATCCGAGGGTTCCCCCTTACGGCTTACCAAATAGGCGGGAAAGTGAAAAACACTGTTTTAAACATGGTGTTGGTCTTGCCTTCCTGCCGGTCAGCAGCAAGCAGCAGGGCCACTGGGACCCTTTGGCTAATTAGCATCAGGACAGCACCATATTTAAAACCGCAGTTTTCGCCTCCTTGCCAATCAGGAGTGAGCTGCAAGTGGGGCCCTTCTACCAATCAGCAGCAGGGGCACACATGGGGGAACCTGCAAGATTAAAGATTAAAGAACCTGCAAGATTAAAGGGCCCACAGCACATGCCGCTTCTGTCATGAATTCTGCCCTGCCTATTTCATTTGCCTCTCTAAGCTGCGTTCATTTGCTGAATTCAGTGACTAAAATTAAACACTTTTATATCCATGAAAACAAACAAACAAACAAACAAAAAACCCCAAACCAAACACACAATCTGTGCTGTTAAAAACAAACTGATATAACCTAAACAGGATTGTGTCCAGCTAGGTTTTAGCCAAGGCATCGTGTTAGAATAAGAAAAATCTACTCTCCGTCAAAAAAAAAATCAAAATTATTCTGAAACATAAATCTGAAAATTTATATTTCTAAGATTCAGGGACTATAACACCCAACCATGCAGAATCAAAATAAAAATATAGTCCTAAAATACAGCAATTGCATATGTACCTGTATTACTAACATTTTGAAAATCTGAGTAGAGACTGGAAAAAAACACAAACAACCCCCCCCCCCCCCAACCAATTCCTGATGCAACTTTCTCCCCTCCCCTCCAACAGGTTAACTAAATTAATCCCTTAGATTACACATACCTGGTAAGAGAAAGAAGCAATTCATATCCAAAAACAAGTTGGCCCTTTAACTTTTGAAAAAAAAAAAAAGTTTTTGGTATTCAGTTTTCTTGGGGCATTAAACAACATTGTTCCCTTGAAAACAGCACAACCAAACAGGCAGATTTCTAGTCCTGTTCCTTTTAGCAGCATCTGAGGTCTTGTGTTTATGGTAATAGCAATTACTGTTGTTCACACATGTATATGAAAGTCTATTACCAACTACATATATACGCAAAACAACAAGCATGCTGAGATGCCCAAGTTGTCCACAGAAATAAACATTTTATTAATAAAAAAAAGTCAGTAAAAATTGTATGTCTGTCTAATCCAGTGGGCAAAAAGGCATTTTATAGATTTCTTATTCTTGATCTATCAGTAGATGTAACATGTCCATTTTAATAAATGCTATTGGGGGTCCATTTAGAACAACAACATTCATTCTGGTGTAATAAAACCAGCATATTTAATTTAAAAAACAAGTTAAGGACATTTTAATGCAAAGAAACCAAGCTTGATTTGTTGCTTAATTATGTCTCCTGTCTGTAGCAGACCATCAAATTATGTTGACCTATGCAATACTGTATAGAAGAATCACCTCCAGAGAGGCTGAAAGCCTTTTCCATCAACTGTGTCGATGCTGACACCAGAATGATAATATACCTATCAGGGAGGGGAAGACAGACTTTGTTTTAATAAATTCACATTTAAATCTTATAAAACTTTTATACAGTTATCAAAAAGAAAGGAAGGTTTCCCCAATTTTTTCTGTGCCAATTCCACATCTGAGGCAACACCAAGAATTACAGTGCTCATGACATCTTTTATTCAATTCACATTGTAAAGCATGCAGTATTAATGTAAAACAGTACAGCTTTAATGTAAAATGTTCTGGGCACATTAGGTAAATAAGCCATTAGCATATAAACCCATTATACAGTCTATATAGACGTACTGAATGTATTTTGAATAACAATGCTTCTTGGAAACTAAATTAAAAATTTGTTCTTAACTTGCAAAGTTTTTCAGTCCCAAGGAAATGCTAGAGAGGAACAGGGACGGGGAGAAGGGGAGGTTCCTTCCCCCCTGCTGCC